CAAAAGCTCTACAGGATTCAGTACATGTTTTACAGTGAAAAGTCATTGGGTGTGGTGAATATTTTGATACCTGAGGAACAACCGATGTTTGCTGTTGTGTTGCATTAACATAAGACATATGCTCCGGATTCAGCCTGGGCATAAGTCTGTGTAACTTGCGGTGCCAATAAAGCAACCCATTCAGTCCTACACATCTGTCTCCCAAGTGAGGTGGAAAGGAAATTTTTCACCTGCAAATCCTAGCAGAACGTCTCACCAGCAAGAAGATGTTCCACAGCTGTACGTGGGCACTTTGAGATATTCATCTGACAGTATTTTCTTCAGTTTTCTTCCAAGTTTTCCACATTTAAATATATCCCAGACAAATCTTATATAAATTTAGCAGGGAAGGCAGGGCTTTCCTTAACTCTTTCCATACATACATATGTTAGGAAATACTATTTGAAAGTTATCCTGTGGTTTTGACTAGCGTTCAAAGTGAACACCTAACTTGGTAGTTCCCAAACTGTGGTGTGAAGCCTACAGCAATATAAAACTAATTGCAGTAGTTGAGAGAAAAAAGAATCCAGTAGCTTAATGGATGAACCACTGAGGATGAAGGAATTTAAAAAAAATAACAGCAGTGTATGTGGGTCACGAATCTCTTTTGCATTAATTTAAATACTAAGCACCTAAAATTTTCATTTTTCTTCTATTTATAAATGAAAGAAAGCAGTGAAAATATTTATAGCTTTTGGATTGTAAGATTCATACGTTACTGTCGGTGATACAGAATATATTACTATTATATTGTTTATAGCTTTGAGAATGATTCTGAGAATGATGTATTTAAATGGAAAGGCATGCAGTGAAAGGCCTTCCATTGGGAGTTTTTTTGCAAGAAACTTTAATGTCATTCAGAAAATATACTTGGTGGAAAGTGTAGGAATAAGGAGTGCAGGGAAAAAGATAGAGAAACAACTAAAGCTAAGGGTTTTTTTATGAGAAAAAACTAAAGTAGCTGTTGTGAAAGGGGGGAACATGACTACACTGGCTGAACTTACATTGTGGGAAACCTGAGAATGGAAGAAATGCTAAACAAAGGAAAAAGGCCAACAACAATCTCATCCCATCCCATCCCATCCCATCCCATCCCATCCCATCCCACTCCATTCCATCCCATCGCATCCCATCCCATCCCATTCCATCCTATTCCATCCCATCCCATCCTATTCCATCCCATCCCATCCCATTCCATCCTATTCCATCCCATCCCATCCCATCCCATCCCATTCCATCCCATCCCCAGTTAAACTTAGGCTGAAAAGCAGAAGACAATTTCAAACCATAAGACCAGAGAAGTTTTAGAACAGGCAAACAAACAGAACACCTAGCTTATTTTGAGATGATGTTTGAGGAGAAGCTTGGATTTGATGTTCTTTGAAAGAAGGCCACTTCCAGTGCTATCTTATTTTCATCTCATTTTAAACAAATTTTATCTTAAACTTTTTTTTTTTTTCATGAACCAAGCTGTCAAGGTACAAGTCGAAGGATTGTCCCACACTCCAGGACTTCCATGGAGACCTTAAGAACCATCAGATCCCAACCATATGCCACATGGCAGAAATAATCACACCTGAATTATTGCTGGCAGATGCTTGTGTACCCTGTTCTTATGAACCTGCAGTGATGGCAATTCCACGGCCTTCTGGTGCTTAACTCTTCCTAACATTTTAAATACCTTCTTCAACCAAAACATCTTGTATTAACTAAAATTTTCTTCCTGCTGCAACTTTAGACTATTTCTTCTTCTTGTGTCTGCAGACTAAAGTAACAGATTCTTTACTGCCTCTTCGTAGCAGGAAAGTTACATTACAACTGTTACCATATCTTGCTTCAGGTCTCGCCTTAAAAATAAACAGGCTGTTCTTTCCATCTTTCCTGTAGGTCCTATTTTCTAGACTCTTGATCATTCTTGTTCCTCTCCCCTGTACTCTTTCCAGGTGGCCTGCATCCTTCTTGAAGTGTCATGCCAAAACTAAACATAGCACTCCAACAAAAGACTCGGCAGTGTCAGATAGCACCGAATTGCATCAGGTATTTTCCAGACGACATTTCAGTTTACACAAGATCCTAGCTTGCCATTTGCTCTTAGTGAGATTTCCTTTTAAAATAACAAGTCAGTTTTTAAAAAATACCCATTTCATTTAAAATACCTTTGACAAGAAGATTATTTAAGCATGAAAATGCATCCAAAATGAAAGAAACCAATGAGATTTGGTAGGCCTACATGAACACACTAACCTGCTTTTCCCATCTCTTTTCTTGTATGCTTTGTGTTTCAGTGAAAACTGAAAAGTGTTACAGAAATGGTGTATTGTGGAAAAGACTTGATGTAACTCTTACATTTATATTTTAGACTAGTGAGAAATTCATTTCCTGATGAATTTACAGAACAGGTTTTCTAAATTGTCACACATTTCTTGTACTTAAAGGAAAGACGGAAGGAATTTCTAATCAAATTTCCTAACTTTTTCTCTTCCCTATATGCTTCAGATGATGCAGTTTAAGAAGAATTTTATAACGTGAGAACTTAATTGCCCAAAGATTTTACTATTTGTTGTCACAGTGTTAAGTTAATCTTTCAGACAGTATTTCATCTTATAACTAAATATTTTAAAACTTACTCTCCTCTGTCTCATAGTCTAATTCTCATTGAAATCAATGCCCATTTTTATCAGCAACATCAATGAGATAAGAATCAACCATTCTGTGTAATGGTGCTTTAGTTGAAAAAAAGCAAACAAAAATCTTCATGTGAAAGTAGAGCAAACCAAAAACATTTGGGATTATTAAGAGCAGATGTTAGGAGAGTATAATGGATTCACTTATAAAACATCTGAACATTTGCCAAGCTAAAATATTTGTCAGTTGAAGTCCTATAGTGACAGTAATTCTAAATAAGAGAGTTGAACCTATCAAAATAAAAAATATATACACAGATATAAAATTTACAAGTGTCTCATGGATGTTCTTCTATGTTCACATTTTAAAACTACATAAATATATAAAAAAAATCACAAAATGTTGTAAACCTAGTTTTTAGAATATGATACTGAAGAATGGGTAATATGGTAGGGGGACGCCAAGACAAACAGGCTCCAAAGATTGCCAAGAAACTCCTAAAAGAAAAAATAACTTGCAACTCCAGCCATTGTAAAACAAACTGCAACATTTTTTGGGGTGTATGTGTGTGTGTATGTGAAAATATTAATATTCACCTGCAAAATGAATGCATGCAAAGAGTCAGATGTACAGAAGTTAGTCCCTTAGGACCATAGTTAAGGCACTTGAGGTTTGTCCACTGAATACTAGATGTCAAACAGCTAACAGAGTAAAAAACATTACCCAGGCCTTGTTCTTCCAGGGTTTCTAGAAGAATGCTTTTCTCCTCCTCCTGGATACAAGGAGTTTTCTACCCAAAGTGGAGCAGGGAGCACCTTTAAAGGGAAATGCTAAGAGAGAGTTACCCCAAAATATCTATGGGCTGCTGACTGGCACATGCCTTTTGGGGCTAAGCCATGTAGGTTCAAATACCCTCAAGCAGGGCCTATGTTTCGGAAGCTGTTATCCAGGAGTGCCATTACAGAAAAGTTTTCCTGTCTACTGGGAAACTGAGCTTGCTTCCTTGCTCAGAGGAAGATCCTAGGGAGAGTACACGGTACGAACCACAGGTACAGAGAGAGACCTGTTCCTTCATGTTCCTGCAGCTGGTAACACTTAAGTCACATCTGACCTCAGAGACAAACAGTTTGGTTCTCAGAAGAAAACCTGCCTACCAAAATGCTGCTTTATCCAATCGACTAAGCATTTATGCTATGCTGAGCACCAGGACATTAAGAAGAATTCAAGGATACATACATGCCTGTAATATGCACATAAAAGACGTAATAATCAGAGGTTTGAAAGATGATGTGCTACATTTTAGTAAACAGTAATAGTTTAAATAATAATAGTAATAGAAATATTAGTGTCTGGCAAACTTATATGAAGCATCTAGTATTTACACTACAATAACTTTAAAAACACTGTATATTAACTATTTTTACATTGGTGAAAGCAAGATTAGAGCCAAATCACCAGTGCCCATTCAACCACATGGAGACAATTTTTGCAAGAAAGACTTTGCGTTCAAGCAGTTTGGGGAAATAAGCATTCCTGTAAGCTTATATGCTTTAAAAAATGGGCAATTCTAAGAAACCTCCCATGTGTAAAACAGTAGAGAGAATTCTTTATGCCTACAAAGGACAGTTAGTAAGCTGCATTGAATAATTACTTCTGCAGAAAGGAAAAAATGGTTTTTGTCTCTGATGATTTATGTATCTACACTAATTATGTGACTACTCAGTTTTGTGGCACTGTGAGAATGATCCCTGCCCTGGCAACAGTTAAAATACACCCAAGTGGATGGGATGAACTAATAACCAAATCAAAGAGCACAGTAAAATATTACTCACATTTGCAGTGAGATGTTGCATAAGTTGTTGCAAAATTGACAGAGTACTGCCACAAAATAAACACTTATCTTTACTATTTTATTTTTTCTTTATAATTAAAGTAACTAAGCCTTCATAAGGGCTTGGTTTAAACCCCTATGTTTATAATTATTTCATTGGCATACAACATAGCACAGGTATTCACGCTGCCTAATTCTAAACGTCTAATTTAAGCATGTGAATTAAGAGCCTTTCCATTAAGTGAGCCTCCAACGGGCATTTGGAGCATATAAACATCAAACATCTGGTTTTCACCTGTTTTACTTTAAATCCCATTCATTTATCCATCTCATAACTTCTTAGATTTCAAAAATTATTTTCAAGCCCACTGATAAAGGTAAGCAAAGATGAGCTTACCAAAGAGAAGCACGCAGTGAATTTTCAGAAGCAAAATACTCCGACGAATTTGTGTACAAATAATTCCAACAATCTTGCCAGGTACCTAAATACTTTGGAAAAATTGGCCTTGTAAGTGGTCATCAAAATGTCTCCTGCTCTGTGTTCTTAATGCATTGTTTCTGATTGATTTTCCTGGTAGATAGATTAAAAAGGAATGCATTAGGCCCAGGATGGAACTGAAGTGCCCAGCGTTGCATCGCTGCTCCCTAAACTCAGCACTTTGGAAAACCTGGAGGCCACTGAACTAGTCATGAGTTTTATCCAGTGGCTACAGAAATACAGCTCTGTAAAACACATGAAGTCTGGGGCAGGTCCTAGAACCCAGAGCAAGGGGAAAATCCCTAAATCACTGTTCAGGCTCACTCTTCCACTGTTCCTCTCAGACTCCTTGGCTCGAATGCCTCCTTGCTGCCCCGGTTTGCAGCATTACCCCATCGCCAGCAACCCCTTTTACAAAAAGCAGGCTAAGGTCTGCTTCCCTCTTCAGCAACACGCATACCTGTGCCCACTCCATGGCAAGGTGTCCACCCACACTGTGAATCCCAAGGGGACAGGGGTCACCTGCTCAGAACTGCCATAGGTCAGGGAAAGGATGTTCCCGGCTTAGGACAAACCTCTCCCGTGCTGTGTCCCAGGCTGGTTTCCCAGGAAGGCCATCGCCAGGCTTCTAGGCGCTGGTACTCCCTTCAGCTATGCTCTGGAGTCAAACCTCGTGGCTCATCTGGACAGCTTCAGCATTCTGCACTTTCCTGTTTTCAAAAGCCATCAGCCATTGCTTACTCCTTCTCTCGATTTCTCCCTCTATTACTTTTCATTTGCTTTCTCACTCCTCATTTTGTGCGGTATGTCAGATTTTGTAAGTTAATGCAGGGATCTTCCACAAGGACATTCTTTGGTAAACCAAATGGTAGCTTACCATCCTAGACACTGGCATGCTAGTGGCAGAATCTGTTCTTGGTCTTATGGCTGCATTCCCAGCTCAAGGGCAGTACCTCCAGTCCCATAAAAGCTAACCATACACATTAATCTGCTTTGCAGTATTATGCTAAATTCCTTTCTGAAACCCAAATAGATGAAGATGGTGATAACATACTCAGTGGATTAGTCTCAGCAGTCATTGCTTAAGATGTCCCTTTATGTCTGCAACACTCATTTCCTACCCCACTGCACATCATTTTCTCTCCTCCTGCTGTCTGCTTCAGCTTCTAAGGAAACAGATTTTCTGTCTTTTCCCAGTGCCACGGTGACTCAGTGTTTTATCAGCTTCTTTTTGTGTTTTATTTTATTTTTTATGGTATGATGTATTAGACCTCTTTCACCCATTTCCTAACCTTCTGTGAAGAGTTAGGCTATGGATTTGCTTATACGCGTGGGCACAGTTCACATCCTGTGAGCTCAAGGAAAACAAGCTGGTGTCTCTGATCATTGCCTTACGCATGCAATACCACGATTACAGCACTCCGTATGGTGCTAACTAATATTCTTGGCATTGTGTCATAATCCTGGAAATGGCCAGTTGCTCAAGTTGGCTGGAAATGGTGTTATAATGGATTATTCCTACTGCTTCTGAAATGACAGCGCTTGGAGTCTTTCCTCTAGGTAGTCACTGACAATCACCATCAGCATCTTCGTTAAAGGAATGCCCAGCCAGCAGTCTAGACCTGTAAAAGAGGCAATCCCCCGCCGTTGCAGCCTGATGTACAATGCTACCACGTAAGTTATTTGCTGGGGATAACATCACACTTCCCTCTTCTAATCGTTCTATGTTTTACGTATTTATTTATTTCCCATGGCTGTGAGCCACTGTCTCCTTCCCAGATTATTTTCATGGACGTGTGTTTTTATGGAGTTGCTATTCTCCTTGCTTTCCTTCTTTTTTTTACGTTATATTTTCTTTGTCATCTTTCTCATTATGAAAGAAAATGGACTATCCTATACCATAGCAACATCCCTCCATTAAGTAATTTTTACATGATTGTGGTCTCAACCTCCTCCTCTTCACGTGTTTATGAAAGTGCCCTTTTACTTTGTTCATATACTTGGCAGATTGTGACTTAACAAATTTTATTTTTATAGTATTTATTTGTCCTTGTTTTTCATGTTCTGACTGTGCTTCTCTTACTCTGCCAGCTCCCCGTTTTGGGCCATCAAGCATGCCATTAGAATACTAAATAACAGTTCAAATAGGCAAAGCAATTCCCTTTCAGGAGAGATTAATTCAATTGTATGAACACATCTATGAACTATAATTCTTTTAAATCAACATCATATACGCTGTGTCAAAAATGGATAAAAATAACCCAGCTAATTGCTGTTAAATATTCTCAGTCACTCTGAGGCTTCAGCAGCATTACAGCTGCTGCTGTGTTTCCCTGGTATTTACAATATAATTGTTTGATACTCATTTTTCATTTGATATTTATCTTGCTAAGAAACAACCAACAGTAAACATTACTAAATACCACTCCAGGCACTGCATAAAAAACATCAAAATGGGAATGTAAATGGAAAATTAGTATCTCTTGCCACTTGAACATGAAAAGGTAAAAAGGGAATTCTTGCAGATCACTGAACAAATAAATCAGAAAGATTTCTTTTCTCAGTGTAAGGAGTCTTTAAATAGTACTACAGAAAGCGCCTTACTGGCATATGAAATTCTGCACTTAAAGATGTACATACATGAGTATACAGTTTTAGAAAAACTTTGAGCTATCACAAACCCAGTGTAGCTGATTAAAGTGACAAAACTGTGATCTGTGTCTGGGCCAAAAGCAAGATGAATCTTCAGACTATAATTCAGTATCTTAAAGTATACAAATTCAGCCTGCAGAAAAAAAAAATTAAAGGCTGTCCTTGATAGCATTGACTCAATGGATTAGAAAATTAGGCTAATTTTTGGTTGCTGCTTTGTTACTCAAGCTTTCCGCATTTTTTGTCATCTATGTGCTTCCATACAGGTGGAATATGCATGGGTTTTGATTCTCAGTTGTTTGCAGAACAGCTCCGTGTATCTTATACGAATCCCAGCCCAACTTTAGCGGAGTATTTTAAAAGCTATCAAGCTGGCAGTGTAAGCAGAAGGACTGCTGGCTGTTATTCCAGAAACTGTATGCTCTGTCCTCTCTGAATATTAACAGCTGCATCAAGTAAAAAAATCAATATCCCAAATTTAGAGCACTGCAATGAAGTTGCAGGGCTGAATGAATCATCTTTCCCCAAAAGCTAGGATGATGATACAAATCTTACCAAAACTTTTCTGCGTGTTGAATATCCTGTGCTTTGATGCCAGGACTTATTGCCTGCACACTCATACTGGGAAAGGTAATTACTGAGAAACATTTGTGCAGAGATCCAAGTAAAGAAATAAAACCCAGGAATTTTCTATTTGCTGGCCAAACAAGGAGAAAAGAGATAAAGGAATACATGAATACATTTCTCTGTTATTTCAAAATAGAAAGTGATTTCTTAGTGAAACAGATTGATTTGGGATCAAATTTTTTACTTGATTTGATTTAAAGTACTTCATTTTCATTTCAGGTTTTTTTAAAAAAATTATGAAATATGGCTATTTTTTTAAATGTCTGAAATGAAAAATCAAATGGTTTCATTTTGAAAGAGTTGGAACAAATATTTGAGCTCCTTCAGTATATTTTCTTTCTTGCCACAACTGGTTTCTATCTAAATTTATTAACAGTTTTCTCATCCCTAAAACTGTTAGCGAGTTTTCTGTGGTGAAATAATAAAAATACGAATTCATACACTGTATGTATTAACATCGCCCTAGACATTTTTAATGTTGATTTAACATGTAACCATTATGACTTGTCAGATCTAAAACAAGAGTATCAGGGAATATGAGCCACTTATTTAAGAGCTGGACACAACAAAGTATCTTCAGCCAGAATCAGTGGCATAAAAAACAGTGTTTAAAAAAAGAACCTGAAAAAACTAAACAGAGCTCTTAGAATTAGTAACACTTCATTTGGAAATGAGCTGGGTGAACAGCTGTTGTGTCTTTATCTTCAAAAGAGTGCTTTATGTGCACAAGCACAGGCAGAAGTTGAAATACAAGTTCATCCAAAACAATTAAACCCTGGGTTATTTTGAAGAAAAAAAGGAAGACAAAGAAAAAAAAAGGAAAATAAAAAGGAAAAAGGAAGGGGGGAAGAAAAAGAAAAAGAGAAAGAGAAAGGAAAAGAGAAAAAAAAGAGAAAGAGAAAAGGAAAAGGAAAAAGAAAAAGATAATCCAACCTATGAAATCTTTTACATACCCTGGAGTGCCTGTCTGTGGAAATATCTGTGGAGAAGGAAGTGGGATTTCCACAGAAGAGTCAGAGACAGCCATTAGTCAATCCTTGGCTTCACATAGACCTTTCAATAAAAAAGGGTAAAAGAAAATTAATTACAGGCAAATATCTGCAGGCAGTCTATTCAGCATTCTGCAACTTTGGCTCTGCAAAAAGGCTTAAGGATGGAGGCAGAAGTTGGAAAGAGAAGCTGCATTCTCTAAAAATGTGAGGTTTTAATTTTTACTTCACAATTTTCCCAGTTAGGTTAGGCTTACAGAAGATAAGAGTTGGAATATCAGCATATAATTTATTAAATCCTAGGGTTTGTCTGAATTGGGCATTGAGATGAATGCACCAAAACAGTGGTGTTAATAAACTAAACCTAATACATTCAATTCTCATTAACAGTTTTTCAGGCAAAGTGACCTTCCATCACCATTTAGAGTTCTGAGTCTTTCCAGTCATAATGCAAAGGCCAAAGCTGTACAACACTGGGATTACTCTACCTCCCAGAGATACCCTCTATGTAAGCAATTCTCATGTTTTAACTTACACGTATTTACTTTTTAATTTATCTCAGCTGTACTTACTGGCTTTCTATTTAAGACAGGACCTTATTTGCTTTACATTCAATAAGTGTCTCTTTCATGAAGCATGGTATGTATTAAATAATTTTTGGAAATTAAAAAAAAAGTGGGAAACCTCACAATCTCCTTGAAAAAGCATTTCCAGAGACTAAGGTGTTTATTTAAACATTCTCCAAAAGATTACCTCGATAGAGTGTTCTTTCAGAAATCCTGCTGACTACAAAGTTTGGCAAGAAACAGAAAAGATCTTTTTTTCATATGGACAATTTCAGAATCTGTCATTCAGGCCAGAGACAGACCAAAGAAACATTTTGCCCTCTGTTTCGGTCTGTGCTATGACCAGGGGTTAGTCTGGGACACACCTGGGATTTCCAGAGGCAATGTTTTTTATTCCCAAGAAATATAAACAATCAGTTTCTATTCATTCATCAAATAAAATAAAAGCATAGACTAATACTATTGACAGGCACATCTCCTCTACCTCCTCTCCTACTCTCTCTTCCCTCTCATTTACGTCTTCTCAGCATAAAATGGCCTGCCCACTGGAATTTATTCTGCCTATATAAACCAATAATCCTCTCTGAAACACTAACAGTGTTGTTTGAGAGAAGTATTTCATTAACATGCAGTGATTTATAGCCAAAGAACTGGAATGTGATTCAAGCCTAACAACGTGCATCTTAGATGATTTCTGCTTCATTGTTTGCTTTCTAGCGGTCGCGCTGGGACTATTTACTAAACCACTGCATTGCCTCATAGTCCTGTGTTCTGGGACACACATCTTAGGGAGGCTGAAACATTCCCAAGTCTTGCTGGACACATTTCAGAATCCTTCCTGTAAAGAATGTAGATTGGTATAGAGTACTTATTTATTTCATAATTCTGATTGTGTTGGAAGTGGACTTGTACATTTGTAAGAGGCAGACGTTTGACATCTAAAGGTGCTGGATGTTCACTCTCAGGTATATTTTTCTCTCTTGCCTTGCTAGAAAAAAGGACTGAAAAAGGGACTATGTTTTGTGATGCCTAAAATGTAGGCCCCTTGAAACAAAATCTGGAACCTCCTCTGTGGCACTGAGGCACCCTATACCACACCGGGCAATGAGGCTGCATTTTGACGAGCGCTTTAAGCCACGTTACGCTGGCAGGACCACTGAAATAAGTTGTTATTCACCCCCACTGAGCCTACGGACCCTGCTGCATGCCACCCCCTCCTGGGACAGCACACTGGGTTTTGACCACAGGATGAACTGGATTAGAGAAATGAGCCAGCTAAAACCAGCTTTGTTCAGGGTTAGTTTTTATGCTGGTTCACTTCCCAGTCTAGATTGCCACGTGGCTGCACAAACATTCAGGATACAGGAGAAACAGGGGAATGAAGGGCAGCATAGGACAGCTTCTTTAGAGACACCGCTGTCCGTGTGTTCTTGGTGTCTCTCTGGCATCAAGGTTTGATACTTTGGTATCTCAACAGTGAGATCCAGATCTACCATCACGGTGACTTTCGATGCTGCTTAGAAGTCTGTGCACTGCATAAGATATCACCTACAGTTACTAAGAATACAACAAATGTAAGATTTGGATCTGCTCCCCTCCAGGGCCTAACATTGCACCAAGGATAGAAAGGAGAAATTTCTGTTTGCCCAGGTTTTTTTTTCCTAGTAACTGAGCAGGGATCACCAAGAATGGGAAGTGGTACAGGAACCATCACTCCCTTTGGGCAGGCTAGCTGCTGGACAAAGTGCAAAGGATTGGGACACCTGCATTCACTGAAGAGAGGGCAAACCCATTTCTCCCAGTTGCTGGAACAGTGCTCTGACCACACTATACCGGTTGCTCTGGAATATGGGGTCTCTGTTAGAATGTGTGAAAACCTCTCAATGAACACAGAAGAAAAAGCACCGATTAACAGGAATCATGATTGTACTCTGCTTATTAAGGCATGTATTTGCATGATAATGTGTGGACAGAATGCCTGAGCAGGTCCTTAAAGAAGAAACTGAATTTCCTTTTTTCCAGGCACTAGCAGTCTACAAAAGCATGCACCGTTTTCCAGACTCTGCAAATGTTGAAGATAAGCAGGGAAGGCATCACTATGCCTCTGTTGGCCAGGTTTTGAAAGAAAGCACAAAAAAACCTGGATAGCTGTGGAACACGATTCTGTCGGACTATGAAAGTACCATACGTGCCATCGGAACACCTCAGTTGGTTGAATGTGGCTTCTAAGCATTATCAAGCTAAAGTGCTCAGAACTGCCAATGTTACAATGCTACTAGACCTGTCTGCAGAACAAAGCTCCTTTGCAGCTGGGGTGCTGCAAGGATCAGACAGGCACTGAGCAGGGTTTTTATTATGACAGTTATGATCTAAGCACCTAAATTCCATGTACTTCCTTCTTTGGATCTGTTCAAACTTTAAAAGAAACGAAATACTCTCCCTCTGAAGGTAATGCTGTGAGATTCTTAACAGCTACTGTCCAGAAGCTAAGGTATGGTCAAATTGTTTTGGAACCAATAAAAGGTAAGCTTATGGCTGTAAACCTTCCTCCAGCTTAATCGGAGTATCTCCTGCTGTAGATGAGTCCTAATCCTATGCTGCCAGAAGGGTCATGGTTTTCTTTTGAAGTTTCCAGTTCAGATTTCTAGGCTCATCAAGAGTTTTTCAGACTCCTGAAGAACAAATTCGGTATCAATGCAGACTGCTCAGAGGAACCCTGAGAGTTTTAAAGCTTCTTGTACTCTGTGCTATATTGTACTCCTTGATTTTCCCCTCTAGCTAGACTCTTCAGAGTTATGAAATCAATGCTTTTCCCTTTACTCTGATTCATATGAGGTTAACACTGTAAATTCACAACACATAGAAATCAATTAACATATCAACTCCAAGTCAACTCCATTTCAGTTAAGGAACTTGGCCCAGTTCAGTATCTCCAATAAATTTTCCTTCACCAAAAAAACACAAACACACTGTTCAGCTCAAATCCCAAAGCAGGCCATGTAAACAGATTGGCGTTGCTGCATTCCCTGGAGTTTAGAGAAATAAGGCTCTTTCAGATCAGCAGTGACTTCCCAACATGACTACGGTCACTGGAGAACAGCCTGCCACTCTGACATTTAAATCTGAAATCTGATGTACTTAGGTCATAACATAACCACCTCCTCCTCCCTGGCTACTCCAGCTAAACCTCTCCCTTTTACTCATCTCATTAGTAACCAACTTTGTGTTTATAAAGCAATAGTAAACATAGTTATCCATTGTCAAGGCAGAAAATAATTAAAAAAATGTCTCGAATACAGGGCCATAGTTTCATCCACTCCTCCTAAAAAACAGACAACATTTGAAACTGCCATAATAATTACATGGGTAAAACTCCCACTGAATTCAGTGGCACAAGGTGATTGCTATCTGAGCAGGGTGCCACCCAAGGTTCCCTTTGCATAGCCAATGAAAGCAAAAGTTCTGAAAACCATCTGGCTGCTGTTGCGCAGGCCTCCTCAAGTATGCGTGCAGAGCCCAACCAATTTCACCGCAATGCTTCGCTGCTATACAGCTCCTCCTGCTTTTCTCTGAAAGTAGAAGCCCACGTCTGCTAAGTGACAAAGTCAGCTTCTACTCTTACTCCAACTATTTGGCATATTTTGAATTTTTGAGGATTAATTTCTTTAACAGTCAGTGCTGATTGACTGCTAACCATACAAAATACTTTGGCCAACAAGTACAAGTCTGTTTGCAATATTAAGGGTAACATTTAAAAGATCAGTCAGCTTAGATTTAAAGGAAACCTGAAAGCAATATGCTTTCTTTTTTTCTTGGCCTAGGACATAGACACTGCCCAAATTTTGTTCATGAATGCAATGCATCTATTACGAGTATCTGAATAAATAGTAAGTCTTGAATTCAATCAGCTGCGTCTGATTGCTTGGCTTCAATCTTGGAAGCATTGTCTGCTCCTGAATCCAAGAACTATTAGTGAAAGACACTGTGGTACTTTCCTTTCACCCACCCATGCTTAAGCACACACACTTTGTACCTGCCACCTGACAACTCCCGTCAGGAGAAGTCCAGTCTGTCCTAGCAACGTAATCTCCATGACAAAGTGAGTCATACCAGCTCTCTCAGGATCTGTAAGCCACTCTTTCATTTAGTTATCTACATGAAGAAGGATCGTTCAGTAACCAAAGCCTTCAAGGAGGACCCAGTGCTTTCTCTTCCTCAAATAGATCATCATGGAAATCTAAGCTTTTCTTTCCCCAAAAATGCTCTTCCCAGAAATCTTAGAAAACAAGGGACCACTGGCAAACACAGCGATTGTTTGCAATGGTAAGTCACCTCACACCAGTCCACATTTCATGACTTCTCTAAGCTGACTTACATGCGTGCTGAAGCTCTCCTCCCCTTCTTTCCCTGTGCTGGCAGCAGCAGTTGTGGTCACAGATCTGGGAACTGACCTGGCCAAAAGTGGGGCTTTTTTGTGAGGGGGGGATAGGAGGTATTTGTCAGATCGGTGCTCCAATCCAACTCACCAAGCACACACTACGGCCAGCCGAAGGACTTGAAAAAAACTCAAGAGACCTTAAACACTTACTGCAGAATGAAGTTGGCATTGCCTATAGACTGCCCATCAATGACTTCGTTGCCCAATTCTAGGTCCGTCTGCCATGAATCATTTTTATGAATCTATATCCCTAAGGGTTTATAAATCAACCATGTGCCTCTTGGAAGGAGGATGAAGCCCCCTGCTCGATAGGAGATGGCTGCCACCCACCTCATCCCCCTGACCTGAGATGGCGGCCTCCCTCCGAGATGGCGGCCTCCCTCCAAGATGGCGGGCTGCTGCTGTCCCAGGGAAAGGGCTGAGTGGCCACTGCCTGCTTCTTGGTTTTCCAGAGTTTTTCCAGAAACTGTTTTTTTTGAACGCGGCACCTCCATCAGCAAAGGGTCTTTCTGTCACTGAATGTTTCATGCCTTTTGCCACAGCCCAGCAAAGAGGGAAGACCTATTCCTGATAATACAAACACATAGTCCCAGAGAATGCGGGTTAAAACAGATAAATAAAACAAATTCATCAGAATTAGCTTGAGGACGCCAAGTCTTAGTCACTTTACTTCACAGAAAAATCCAGAGGCCAAACCAGAACTTCCCAGCCAAGTTAAGAGATGGGCAGAAAAGAAGTGAAAGGGAAGGGAGGCGATGGCCGATGTGAAGCCTTCGCGCCCTCCCTGACGGCGCAGCAACGCGCGCCCGTTCCCAGCCCTCCCGCTCCCTACCTTTTCTGGGATTTTCCCATTTTCTGTAGGACGCTACGTGCGGGCACTGCCCGCGGGCTCTTGACCTGGGACGCCTCGGGGCTCCGCGGCCCCTTAGCTGAGG